TAACAGAAGTATTTTAAAGTCTATTCTCTGAGATACAGGGAGCCAGTGGAAGGACTTTAGAACTGGGGTGATGTGCTCTACTTTCTTAGCCTTAGTGAGGACACGGGCAGCAGCGTTCTGGATCAGCTGCAGCACTAAGCATGCTTGTAGCGACAGTGGAGAGGAAAAACTCCCTTTAACAGGAAGAAACCTCCAGCAGAACCAGGCTAAGTGTGAGCGGCCATCTGCTGAGGCCGACTGGGGTTCAAGGAGAATCTGAAGATATTTTCTCTTGACATACGGGACATTTTTGAGGCAGGCATATATGGAGTTTGGCCGGAGTAGAGATGGGAACATAATATTTCCTTCCACATTTAAGACATAATTTATTTATTTTGCAATTACTGGCCTGCGTTTTTGCCTCCCCATGAGGATTTCGAATCAGCTGGAGAATGAATTCTATGTTATCTTCTTCAGTTATTACAGAATTTGATTCTACCAAAGTATCCAAAAATGCTTCAAGTTCCTCCATGATATTTTCTCCATTATCATTTAAAGTAAAATGTGTGTGTGACACTGGTCGTTGGTTACTACTTCCAGTTGTAGAACATCATTCCTTTGAGCAATCGGTCTTATTCTATTAACCAGATCGGATAGAACAATCATCATGCTAGTGAAAATTTCTGCTAAATCTCCCTTCGAACCATTCAGATTTAGTGAGAGCCGTTCCCTAATTTTTACATTGCTGAAATTTTCTCCGTTTACGGTTCGTGGTCCTTCCCCACCACCAGATTGAGGAATATTTAGAGGTGGATGGATTGGGTTGGATTTTCCTCTAAAGAAGTTCTTTCTGTCTTGTTTTGTCTAGATAATTCCCTCAGTAGTTGTTACAATTTAACTGATCTACATGATTACTTGCTGTGGACGCTGGTTTTGACAAAGATTTGCATTCCGTATGTCGGATTTTAAAGGAGAAAGAACATCATTTAAAGTGCTCATTTCGTTGACCATATTTCACAAATTCTGTAAAAAGTCTTCAGAGACATTTTCCAGTTCTTATATTTGATATATTTTTTAAAAGTACCTGGTTGTGCTGCATTTTGATTTCCACCAGAAATATTCTGGGTTGTGTATGACTGAGATAAATGCGGGTCAGACATGTTTATTCACTAATGCTTTCATTCAAAAAAATCGCACTACATATTACACTCAAATTTATACGACGGAGTATTAGGGCCAGTCTAGGGATTTTCTCTAA